ATGCAGTTCAGGCTGGTCTTGAGCTCACTTTGTAGCCCAGGCTGGTCTTGAACTTGCAACAATCCTCCTACCTCAGCCTCCCAAGAGCTGAGATTACAGGCATGAGCCACCACGCCCAGCATCAGTATTTTTTTGAAAAGGATCTTGACGCCAAAATACATGAGTCCGAAAACCTGGGTCCAGTTCTACCTACTGAATGATTTATCATTGGAGCAAGGATTTATCTAAGATGATTATATGTACTGTGATACAGAAAAGAATACAGTTTTGGGGGTTTATTAATAATGTATTATAAAGCACATCAAAAGTTGAGTTGAACTAATATCACTACAGTATTTGTGCATTTTTACTGTGTGTCATTGGGAGTATGCCAAAAACTTTTTTCTTTTGTACACATATGTGTGTGTGCATACACAAATGGGCACACACACTTTTTGTGATGGGCTTAAATATTACATGAAAACTGCAGTGTGCCTCAAAATAACATGACATTTATTAATTTAGTGAACTTTTTGTGGAGGAGTCCATTTCATAGATACTGGATATAGCCCAGGGATATAGCTCAGTGGCACAAGTGCCTGCCTGGCAAGCACAAAGTCCTGAGTTTTATTCCTGATACCAAAAAAAAAAAATATAATCTGAAACATAGATATTGGAGATATCTATCTATTTATCTATCTATCTATAGATAGATATGTATAAAACCATGTATTTTTCACTTGGAGCTAGTGATTTTAGAGGCATTGTTTGCTATGTAGCTGGGTGTAGTCTGGGACATGATGGCGGGGAGGGTGCTCAATCTAGTCAGAAGCATTGTCACCTATGCCATAAAGGAACTGAGAAATCATGACATTGCAAATACCTATGAGTGGAAAATGTAAAAGGAATATATGGAGGAGTAGAGGAAGACGGGCTTGGTGGCACATGCCTGTGATCTCAGTGCTTGGGAGCCTGAGGCAGGAGGATTGTGGTAAGTTCGAGACCAGCCTGTGCTACAAAGTGAGCTCAAGGCCAGCCTGAACTGCATAGCAAGACCCAGTCTCAAAAAAGACAAAAAGAAAAAAAGGAGTGGAGGAAATGATGCTAGAGAGGTAGGCTGTGGAAGCTGGGCTTTATCCAGAAGATTCCGTGTGTGTGTGTGTGTGTGTGTGTGTGTGTGCGCGTGTGCGCGCGCGCGCGCACGCGCGCACCCGCGCACCCTTGTTTGCTGGAGATCAAACCCAGGGCCTTGCACATGCTAGATAAGCGCAGCATTCTGCCACTGAGCTATATCCCCATCCCTGTCAATCAGATTTTTAAATGAGTAATTAAATTAATGAAAACAGGGGACAAAGAAGTGGAGCACAATGTGCCTTTTCCCATTCAGTATGATGGTAGCTGTGAGTTGCCATGTATGACCTAATACTGTGTTGAGGTACATTTCATCTATTGCTCATTTGTTGAGAGTTTTATTATAAAGGGATGCTGAATTTGTCAAATGCTTTTTCCCTGTCTATTGAAATGACCATATATTTTTTTCTTTCATTTTGCTAATAAGATGCTTCATATTTATTGATTTGTGGTGAACCATCATTGTATCCCTGGGATGAATCCCTCTTGATCATGATCAGTTCTTTTTAATGTGCTGTTGTCCTCAGCTTGCTGTTATTTTGTTGGGAATTTTTGTATGTGTGACGCAAGCAATGCTAAATTGAATTTTTCAAGCTGAAAAGCAGAGACACTAATGAGTACCATGAAAACATTTGAAAGTGTAAAACTTGCTGGTAAATGTAAGATACAGATGACCTATCAAGATTCAACTATAAAGAAATAGAAAATCTGAGCCAGCTAATAATAAGGAAATGGAATTAGTAATGAAAAAGTCTACCATTAAAGAAAAACCCCAGAACTGGTGGCTTCTCTGCTGGATTTTGTCAAACAGTTAAAGGAAAACTACGAATTCTTCCCAAATTATTCAGAGAAACTGAAGAGAAGGGAATACTTCCAAACTCTTCTATAAGACCAGTATTACCTTGGTGTCGATACCAGATAAGGGCATAGCAAAAAAGAAAACAACGCGTGTATACTTGATGAACACAGATGTTTCTCAAGTTTTTGTCTGGAAATATGTTTATCTTAATTTTGGATGACAACTTTGCTGAGCACAGTATTCTTGATTGTCAGGTTTTCCCTTCAGTACTTTGAATACATCATTCCACTCTCTCTGGCCTATGAAATTTGTATAAAGAGAAGTTTATTGCTGGGTATATTGTAACTCCTTTTATATATGATTTAGTTCTTTTCTCCTGCTGTTTGAAGCTCTTTGTCCTTGGACTTTGATAGTTGGATTACAGTATGTTATGGGATAGTCTTATTTGGGTTGAATCTGATTGGAGACTTTGGACTTTCTTTACTTGCATATTTATATCTTTCTCTAGTTTTAGAAAGTTTTCTGCTATTCTTTTTTTGTTTTGTTTTGTTTTTTTTTTTTTGGTTTTTCTCCGGTACCGGGAACCGAACTCACGACCTTGCGCTTGCCAGTCAGGCGCTTTTGCCGCTGAGCTAAATCCCCAGCCCCTCTGCTATTACTTCTTTTAACAAAACTTTTTATACCTGTTCTGGGACACCAATTATTTCTGCATTTGCGCTTTTGCTGAAGTCCCATAAATCCTGAAAGTTTTCTTCATTTATTTTCATTTTTACTTCCTGTGACTGAGTATTTTCAAATAATCTGGCTTCTAGTTTACATATTATTTTGCTTGGTCAGTTTGGATATTCATGCACTGTTGCTTTTGAGGATCATCTTTTTTTTTTTTTTTTTTTTTTTTTTTTTTGAGACAGGGTTTCACTGTGCAGTGCCAAGTATCACGTACTTTACCTGAATCTTTCTG